AGAGAGAGAGAGAGAGAGAGAGAGAGAGAGAGAGAAACACAAATAAGAGATTTAAACGCAAAATATACTATTTACTAGATTTTTGAATTGTAAATAAAGTTTTCTAATCAAAACATTATTAAAATTAAACTGTTCAATAATTTAAATTATATAAATTTTATTAAAACAAAATTAAAAGCATACATTATATCGTATATATTCTACTATATTCAATTATCTGAATACAGGTATATTTAATTATAATATAATTAAAAAGTGTACATAGAGTAAGCGTATTATTTTAGTATAATAAGTATATATCTGTGTGCAATATATTAATATTATAATATATTACAATAAGCTACAATCAAAGGTACAAATCATTTGTAATAATCAAAGCTTTACAGATTGAAAGTCAAGTTAACAATGAGATCAAGATTTGTTTTACATGTAGACTGTCCTCTCATTTACATTATTATATTCCCCACAGTTATATAACTTTACAATTTAAAATAGTTATTGTAGTTACATTTGATAAAAATCAAGTTTTAAGATTAATTTAAGCCTTGAAATATCTAATTATATTTCAATTACTGTAAAATTAGGAATGAATAGACCATATAAATCGAGTCGATTGTAATTATAAATATTTAATAATCTCTATTCAAAATTTGTTACTTTCAAAATAAATTCATCCATTANCCATATAAATCGAGTCGATTGTAATTATAAATATTTAATAATCTCTATTCAAAATTTGTTACTTTCAAAATAAATTCATCCATTACTATTAAAATAACTAATAAAATGAATATTTTGAAAATAAACATTCACAGTAAATAAAGGTGTAGAGAGATTATCAATCAAAATTACTCAATTTATAAGGTCTATTCATATCCGTACGTACCTAACCGTACACTAAAATTCCTAACTGTAAACACTTACCACCACTTACACTGTATAATAATATAAATTTTTTAATTGAAATTTATTTTTCTCTTATAAAGACCTGGATTGAAATATATCTGTCTCAATATGTCTACGAAGTCCATTACTATTTGCGGGTCACTATCACCCTGCTCATACGCCAGTCGTTTACGTGTCTATTAAATATCCAAATAATATTTTAATTTAATAAACGAAACAATAATAATATAAATACTGTAATTCAAATATATAACATACCAGGTTAACCAAATCAGTGAGATGCATGTTATAAGCGTACTGAGCTATTGTATAACTGAACGCCTGTCCAAATAGTGTTATACCCTCTGCGTGATTAAGCCATGAATTCACAGCTAAATTATATTCAAATAAATTACATTAATTTACATCTCATAAGACTCATGCAAATTAAAATGCATACATTTAGAGAGCGCATAAATGACATAGGTGCGCTGATTGACATTTTTGCGCAAATTTTCCATTTGTATATCACTTTCTATATGTTGGCCACCCTTTCCCACATCTGTACCCATACGGCAAGCGTTGAAAACAAAAATTTTTGGTTTATTTCTAAGTGACACACAATTGCTTTCGCAAAACATGTCCACAATTTCCGTGACCGACATCTCATTGTCCGGTCGGTCGCCACTCCCGCGGAGTTTACCGTTATATAGGCCTCCGATAAACATAATAAACAGGGCGTCGGCGTCAAACCGCTGACACGACACCCCCAATAGCACATTCCTTATCTGAGAGCACGGGACCTCTCGATACACCTCGTATTGGAAGCCTAACTGTCCGAAAATGGATTCCCATCTCATTATCTCGACGTCCAGGCCATCGACGGTCACAAAAACAATAGCCCGACCCCTGGGATCGGAGTCCATAGAGAAGTATCGGGAATTCCCGGATCGCAGTATTGTTGCCTTTTTTACTTGTAAATCATTGTCAAAGGTGTATGGCCAGGGAGTGTTATCGGGATTCTCTCGGTCTAATCCAGTTACATCCAGGAACTCTGTTAATGACACATTGTTTCTATCAAGTGTGTCCGATAAGTTTGATTGAGTGGATATCATGTCTGTACTACAGTTTTGACCAATAATTGACTCATTATGTTGTATAACAGTTGATAAGAATTGATGAAAAAATTTATTTTCATAAGTCTCGATCTTATTTAATATGACCTTGTATATCTTATCATTTATCACAATATTCTTATTAATAGACCACTCGCTATATCTATCCATCACTTCACTACATTCGGGCCTATTATTCCAATTCGGTGTAATCATCCCATATAATAGTTTATATAAATTTGACACTGCTAAGTATTGCATATTATTTGATGAGTATGCCAATGACCTATAATAAAATAAGTAGTAAATATACATACAGTATCTAATTATTAAATACCTGGTATCGTTAATAGTATGAACCTCGACGTCAAACAATTCACCTCCAATTAGTGCCACACTATAAATATCGGTTTTGTGGTTATATTTTCTACCCTGAAGGTTTTCGGGCGCCATATATCTATAGTCTCCCGCGTCTGCCGTGTGTTTGTATGCAGTTTTATTGTGAATATAGTTGTCGTGAACTGTAGCCAAACCAAAGTCGCATAACTTAATAAACCTTCGGTTCCGTATTATATCAGCAATCAAAATATTATCGGGTTTGAGGTCTCTGTGAATGATCTGTGGATTCAATTCATGCAAATACTGAACACTTTCTAAGATTTGTCGCAATATTTCACATGAAAGGAAATACTCGACTAAATTCATGCGATCTCCTGATTGTCGGCCAAATACTTGTGGTTTATCTTTAAGAATATCCTTTAAATTCTGTGAACAGAACTCCATTTGTATGAATAGAAACCCGGGTTCACGCCATGACTGATAACACTCGACCACATATTGTGACTTAACTTTCACTAAATTCTCCACTTCTTTCAAAGTATTTGCAAGAAGTCTTGCATTTGCATCGGAGTCTGAATAAATAGTCTGAATGATAGTATTGTCTTAATTATAATCTCATTAAGAATACCTTCATTCTTAAGATCATTTAATTCGATCCGTTTAATGGCAGATATCTGACCAGTCAATTTGTGCTTCACTTTATATACCGTCCCAAACCCACCCTTTCCTATCAATGATATCTCAACGAATGTTTGGTTGTATGAGATACACGTCGAAGAGTCAATCGGTTGTGGCATTTGATTGTTTGGGTCCATTGGCTGAGTGGACGACATCCCACTTTAAGCATTAAACTTAAAAATAAACATTAATTATATTTAATTTTCAACATAACTTTACTTACATTTCAATTAATTATTGTTTAATTAAATTCATGNTGACATCGTGGTCCACACTATTGACGATATCAGGTATTTAATAATTAAATACTGTATGTATATTTACTAATTATTTTATTATAGCTCACTGGCATACTCATCAAATAGCATGCAATACTGAACACTTTCTAAGATTTGTCGCAATATTTCACACGAAATGAAATACTCGACTAAATTCATGCGATCTCCTGATTGTCGGCCAAATACTTGTGGTTTATCTTTAAGAATATCCTTTAAATTCTGTGAACAGAACTCCATTTGTATGAATAGAAACCCGGGTTCACGCCATGACTGATAACACTCGACCACATATTGTGACTTAACTTTATTGTGGTTTATCTTTAAGAATATCCTTTAAATTCTGTGAACAGAACTCCATTTGTATGAATAGAAACCCGGGTTCACGCCATGACTGATAACACTCGACCACATATTGTGACTTAACTTTCACTAAATTCTCCACTTCTTTCAAAGTATTTGCAAGAAGTCTTGCATTTGCATCGGAGTCTGAATAAATAGTCTGAATGATAGTATTGTCTTAATTATAATCTCATTAAGAATACCTTCATTCTTAAGATCATTTAATTCGATCCGTTTAATGGCAGATATCTGACCAGTCAATTTGTGCTTCACTTTATATACCGTCCCAAACCCACCCTTTCCTATCAATGATATCTCAACGAATGTTTGGTTGTATGAGATACACGTCGAAGAGTCAATCGGTTGTGGCATTTGATTGTTTGGGTCCATTGGCTGAGTGGACGACATCCCACTTTAAGCATTAAACTTAAAAATAAACATTAATTATATTTAATTTTCAACATAACTTTACTTACATTTCAATTAATTATTGTTTAATTAAATTCATGCAGTATTTGTGTTTAGGTGAGACACCATTTTTATTTATGATAATGATCAATGATCATAAAAAAGTCAACGTTAATGATAACAAAGATTATAAAATTTGTTTCATTTTTCGTTTATTGTTTTTATATTTAATATCAGGAGAGAGAGAGAGGGAGAGAGAGAGAGAGAGAGAGAGAGATTATTTTTATTTATGATATTAATCACTTGAGTGAAGTAACCGTAAATACTAGTTTTTCAACAAATTGTTTAATAATATTAAAATTTGTTAATTCTAAATATATCAAGCAAAATGTTTAGTTATAATAATTATAATTTATTTGGCACATCAAAAAACAGTATGAAACTCAATTAAATGGATACATGTAATTAAGTTGCAGTCCAACTAAATTAATTAAAATAGAAATTATATATATTTTCTAAAAAGTAAAATATTTTATTTGAATACTTTGTATATTATCCACAAACTATCAAATAGTTATGTTGAAAATTAATATTTATATTTAAATTAATTAAAATATAAATTAACATTTTGTCTTAATAACAATTATAAAGCATTTTATTGTATAAAAGTTGCTATAAATTCATAGAAAGATTTATTTTCATTAGTTTTAAGTCAATTTAATGTTAACTTGAATTCAATATCACTTATAATCAGTGATTCTTTGCGTTGGAATAAAGTAAAATAATTTTGTAAATAATTTTAAACAGTTTATTAGAATTGTATAAAACTTATTATAGAATTGAAATGAAAAATATTATTTTTATAACTCTTTATACATTTTTTTTGAATAATTAATATTTGAGCCAATCATATAATATACAATTGGCTTTATCAACTTAATTCTTTATTATATTAAATTATTAGTTGACATTTGTTTGTCTCTTATATAGACCCGGATTCAAATATATATCTCGTGTCATATCCAATGTGGTCATCATAATTTTTGGATGGTCACGAACACCATGCTCAGTTGCCAGTCGTTTTCTTGTCTATTTAAATGTTAAAATAAATTTTATTAATATTAATAAAATAAAATATTAATATTATTAATAATATAATAATATAATATACCATTTCAACTACCCTGTTTGACGCCCTATAGTGCGCGCACTATCTGAGAAAAAAAGTGATTTTTTGGGAAAAAGTAGAGGGGCGCACTATACGTAGGGTGCGCATTATCTGAGAAAAATACAGTATATAATTTTCAAAAAAAATTAATATAATTTCAAATTAAGTGGAAATCAATTATAAATCCAAAACCTCAAAATCTTAAAAACTAACTTAATTCAATACTAATAGTACAAATACAGATAACACTTATCACTAATAATATTATATTGGTATTAATGTTATTTCACTACAACAAATAAATGTAATTTACCTTCACATTAAAGTACTTTATAACTAAATAACTCTTAATTTAAACTAATAAACAAATTGCTTTTCAATTAAATATATACTAATATAAATGTGGCAAATATTTATCACTAACAATTTTGTATGAAATTTTAAAATTTTTAATTTTATCTTATTAATACCTTATGTTAAGCTTATGCCTAGATATCTCAAATGATCAGTTGTCTTAATGTCATTAAAATTCAATTCATCTATACCTGGGTTCATATATTCATGTTATAATATGGGCGCACTATACGTAGGGTACGCACTATCTGAGTAAAAAAATACAATTTTATAAAAAATGAAAGCGCACTATACGGTGGGGGCGCACTATAGGGCGTCAAACAGGGTAATAATAGTAAACATATCGTTATAGTGCTGCACACAGGATGATACTATAGTACAGTCACAGTCAGTAAAGTATTCAATCAATATTAATACTAAACAATATAATATCGATAAATGATATATTACAAAATTAACTGTTTTGGTAAGGGTGCTCACACCCCATTCACTTATTATGTAAAAATGCTGATCAAATCAAATATTTTTTATATTATTAACTTTTGGTAAGATAAATTCAGAGATCATAATTATGTCAGGGTATGTGTCTACAGTATTATAATATGGAAATTAGGTCATGTATAATATATTAATGTTTATTAAATTATATGCATTATTGATATCTTTTTAAGTGTAAAACATAATTATATAATCATTTTAATATTATTCGAAATATAATAACATTTCTATTTACAAGTATTATATTTTAATTATATGTATAAATATATTAAATCTCATTTGATTAATTCCAGTAATATTAACTATTTAGAAATATTTATTCATTACAATATAAATCCATAATAATTTTAAATAAAAAAATATTGATTATATACTAAAATGTGTATTATATTACTAGATATTTTGATAGATTAATAGAACATATGAACATAATATTATAGATATTATATGGATATATTGAATTACAAAAATTTTAAAAAATAAAACATTATGAAAAGAATTAAAGCCTGTATTTTATAAGATATAAATTTGTCACAACTTTTGAACTTTTAAAATTATAATGAGTGAATGGATTTTCAAGAGATTTAAATTGTATAGAATTCAAGTGTGAATAGTTAGTCTTTTGAAATCTCAATTTTTGAGGACTTATCACAAAATCCACTGAATTTATATAAGAGATAAATTGTTTTAAAATATACTAAATATTCTCAATGAATAGAGAGTGAGTGTGAAATATATATATACTTGAATATTATCTAATAATATAAGAGCAAATTGAGTGCCATTTATATAATGTATAGTAATTTAAGTATTCGATTGCTTTTGAAGTGCATGAAAATTAGATCACCAGTGCTTTAACTATTGAATAAACTCAAGGATATGTACAATCTGTAAGAATATTCTGGATTTTGAATGTAACTTAATTCCAGCGATAATTTTATATGCTTATAGTGGGCTATACTGTACGTCAGTATTTGACAATAATCTAAGAATATTCTGTAATTATTTTTATTTTTGTTTCTAGTTTTGATAATTAATTCAATTTATTTGGGAACTCATTAATAAACTTATAAGAAGTCAATTTAGCTATTATATTATTTTACAAACAGGTATATGCATAATTTCTTATCATATTATATAATAATTATATTTTATTGTGTGTTATATGCACTGTAGTGTGTATAAAATATCCACACGCAAATGTATAATGACCTAGATGCACAGGTTTTATTAAATGTCATTTTAAGACACTCGTGATAGTAGTGAATAAAATATGATAGCATTGTTGAAAATATTTTTCACTCAAATCATTAATACAACTCTGGGAAAACAGTAATATTTTTATGACATTGTTTATTTAGTGAACTAGTATTAATCTGTTATTATATAATTTTATTTTATAATCAATAATCAGTATAATGAGCATGAGTATTATAATGTATGCAGAATTGATACTTTACTAGTATTATTAAATTACTATTAATTAATAAAGTATCATTAAATACATCTAAGTATTATGTTAAAAACTGTATTATGGTATGAAGTTGAAAATTATGCATAAATTTAATAAATTCATATATTATTATAATATATTTTTATTAATTATCTAGACCATTACAATTGCAACAATATTATTTATAAGAACTCATTGAGTATAATATTAAAGTTTTCTTTATAGGAATTACGTTAACAAATCAATTTAAGTTACATTTCATTCTCTCTAATTATTTTATATATTTCTCACCTAATATATTTTATAAGATGTATACAATACAAGATTATATTTACCATTAAGCTTAATGTTCAGTTGTTCAATATATTACAGTAAGCTCTTGTAGTTACAATTTAAACATTTAGCATAGTTTATAGTAAAAATTAGACCGAAAATCAAAGCCCGACCCAAACCCATGAAGTTTGAGTCCGGCCCGACCCATACCCACCGCTGGGAAACCCGTGTGAAGTTGAAAACCCCGTAGATTTTCATACATAAATTTTACTTATAAGATATCTTTTAAATGTAGATTATTTGTGTCAATATGGTTTATTAAAGTATACATTTTTACTAAGTTGGGAACATCGTGTCCTGTCAGTA